GCCCACATAAATTGAGAACAAGTATTTTGGAAGTATTATTAATATGCGTGAAAGATTGATAGGACGTTCATTTTCCACTACAAGATAAATTTTAATTGGTCGAAATTATGTCGTTAAATAAGTCATAAGTGATATTTATTGCAATTTTAATCATATTTTGTTATTTTATAATACTATTTTTAATTTTCTTTAAAAAAGTATACACGTTACAACCTACAAGTCGTTCGTATACAATTTTTAACTCTACTTACTTAAAATTTAAGTATTCGATCCCAAAACCGGATAAAGGAGGAAGGTTTGTATAATTGCATTTTGTTTTTATCTATTTTAAATTTAAAAAAAAAATTGAAAATCGAAGAGCTTGTCTCTAAAGCAACGAGCCTCATCATGAGCCGAGCTCGTGTGTCTAATGGCCAAGCCGGCCCGGTCCATTGCCACCGCTATACACGTGGTGATTCTATAACTAAAAAAGATAAAGTTGAGAATGTTGATGAACAAGTGGAAGTATCGTTCATTAAAAATAAACAAGGGAAATAGGAGCTATGTAATTAAACACATCTTTAAGAAATAAAGAATTTATACCTTGCAATAGTTATATAATTTCATTATAACAAGTTAAAAGACGAATAGTAGACCAAAATTATCCCTTGTAATAGTTAAAACTATTCCTCATTTTGAATCTTCAAACAAATGCAAGAAATCGTGGCAAAAAATGTCAACTTTAATGAGTAAGATTTAACTTATTTTTAATTTCTTGGCAATTTCATTTTGTAATGAGATGCAAGAACCAGAAATTTTTAGTAGCCTGTTGCTGTTGGCCGCATAAAACTGCCGGCGGTTAATGTTGGCCGCGTCTCTCTCTCTCTCTCTTTATAATAATGGATATGTATAGGCTATTTCGTCACACGAGCTGCTCATTACGTGTTTAACTCAATTACCGTATTACGTGGTGACTACAAGGTTTTGAAAATGCAAAATTTATCCGTCCACGGCGACAACTTCATCTATTCATCTTATACTCTTGGTCTCTATTTGATGGTGATTAAATTAATTTTAAAATAATTAATTTCAATCACATATTTTTTTCTGAGTTCATAACTTTTCAACTACATATTACATCCAATTTTATTAAAATCCATTAAAAATTGGGTTAAATTAATCAATGATCACCTAATTTTATACTTAAACTTTGTTTGGTAGCGAATAAAATTAGTTTTTTAGTAGATTTTGATAAAAATTAATAAAATGTGGAGGTAAAATGAAGTGGAGCCCATAAAATATGTGATTAAAATGAATAATTGACTTTGACCCAATTAAAATCTTAATTGGTACCAAATTGAGCTTTAGTGTTATATGGTCAATCAATTTGATTTTGAAAAAATAAGTTTTCATTTTATCTTTTTTTAAGGAAATTTTTTAAGTAACTTTTCATTTTATTTTTCTAAGTAACATTTTTTTTAAAATAAGTTTCAATTTTATTTTATTTTTATTTCATTTAATTTTATTATTTGAAGTAATTTTTAAATAATTTTTTATTTTATTTTTTTCAAATATGTTTTTATTTTATTTTTTAAAATTTATTCAAATCAAATTCAAATTCAGGTGCATTAATAAAATCAACAAGTAACAAATGTCCATAGAGATACAAAGTTGTTAGTTTGTTATTTGACAGTTGTTATCTTTTCTTTAGACAAATGCTAGCTACAAAAGTAGTGGATAACTGTTAATCTTGTGTTCGTTAAAAATAATAATCAATATGTGGTAGGTGCTCATGATCCATGATCATCATTCAATAAAATTATAAATAGTCTTTTATTCTTTTCAAAGTTGTCTTTCTTTGTATTTTCTTCTATTGGTGTACACCATAATTTAGGATAAGAGAGATGTTTGATGAATAGAGAGAAACATGCTTTGTGTGAGATTGTTTTATGTGGACTTTAAAAGAGATGTTCGATTTATACAGAGAAACATCCTTCGTGTGAGATCATTTTATGTGACTTTGGAAGGAGATTTATCATTTTAGCATTTGTGTATATAAGTTTGTCAAATGAATCATTGTTTATTTTTTAGTAGATATATATCAAATTAAGTTAAATTTAAGTGTGATAACGTTTTTTGATGATTTCATTCTACCAAAATTGTATTTAAACCAAATCCAGTTGTCCCATTATGAAGTTTTTAAGTAGTAATGAACAGAGTTCGCTGTGGACTATTTTTTAGCTATTTTCAAGTTAAACCATTTTTTGCGATTTTATTTGATTTCAAACTACGATTTTAACGACATAAAAACAATATATATCAAACGAGTAAAAAAAGAGATATATTGATTTGAAATCTCAATATAACACTTTAAGATTATAAATTGTTACATTTTAGACATAAACATTACAACAATAATATATTCATCTCAATGCAAGCTTAAAATCAATATATAAATACGGGGTTTAACAAAAAATTTAAGATTATAAATTCATTAATTCTTAAAATGATAAGAAAGATATTAGCATGAATCATAATTTTCCTAAAAATTTTATAGAGAAGGACTCATTTGACGAGGTATATTTTGAAGTAATAAATAGCATTTTGGGGAAAAACAAAATAGTTTTCTAATTTAAATTATGGATATGTTAGGTTAAGTTCAAGCAATATTTAACAATTGAAATCTAATTTTTTTTCTTCCCAAACCAACGATTTTTGAAATAGCTGTTTCGATTCGATTTGACAGATTGACAACAAGATATTAACATTGTTTGTAAAACATCGAATTATGTAAAAATCTCTATAATGTCAACAAGAAAGTCAATATGAGATATTAATTATTTTTATATTAATGGATAGTCGAAGCAAGAGCTCCTTGTTGTTTGCACCTTTACTTTTTTCATACTTTTTAAGTCAAAAAAATTACTTTTCAAAATATCATTTTTTTCCCCAAAATGATGGCCATCAAAGAGAGGCTAAGTAAAATCAAATTAAAACATAATTATTTGATTGAAAAAATTTGAAGTACAATTGAAATAAGTGAAAATCAATTAAAGTCTAATTATTCAATTGAAGTAAAATGATAATTATCGCAAATCAAACTTAACCTTTCAAAACAAAACAACATTGTTATTTGTTGGAGATAAAATTAATCAGGCTTGTTAAAGAAACGCGAACGAACTGGAACCAGAAAAGTAGGAAGTTATTTTTATCCCGCTCCATTGTCTATATAGGAAATAAAATACGGGGAAATCCAGCTTTGCTTGAAACTGCTGCGTCAAGGGTTCGAATTCTGAAATATGGATTTCGCTCTTGGGTAAGTGCAAGTGTACAAGCAGCCTTCCACCCTATATCCTTGGAGGCATAACCTGCGATTTACCTCCCTCACGATGCTCCAGGGCAGGGGTGGTGGGGGACCCTTAAAGTTAGGGTTTAACCTTTTTTTTTTAAAATAAAATACGGGATTGATTCCTATTTTTTTAAATATGATTTTCTTTTTCTTCAATTTCAACTACATATTTTTTAATAAAATAATATTATACGTAAATTCAAATTTATTATTTATTTTTTAACCTCATATTTTTCATCATAACACTATTACAAAATGCATTTTTGGCTCCCCATTATTTAGAAAAAAATGCATTATTCTGCAGTATTTTGACATCATTTCAATCACACATTGTTTAATAAAATAATATTATACGTAAATTTAAAATTTTTCTTTATTTTTTAATCACGCATTTCTCATCAGTATACTATTCAAAAATTTATTTTTCCTAAAAAATGGGGCTCAAACAAGGGCTAAGTAAAAACCCAAATTTATTTTTCCTTTTTTCCTGTTTATTTTCATCTACAATTAACAACAAAAGGCTCAAAGTCAAACCATATATATTCCAAAAATTTTACCAAGCACAAGCAGTGGAGGCTTGGAACCGAGCCTAGAGGCGGCTCATTTTTTGTCCCCACTCCCATTTTTGTTTAATTTACATCAGCATCCCGCTGTACCCAGCCCCACAATGAGCGCTGTCGCGTGCCGCATTGCTACCACTCCACGTGGCAATATAAAACAACATGTCCAACTGTCATTTCAATGCTAAAATTTTGAGAAACCCGAAAAATTAACCACTCATAAAGGAACTATTTTATACATATTATTAAAAAATATTTATTATCAAGAGGTGTTTGATAGATATTTTTATATAAAAATATATTTTAGAATAGTAAATATTTATCATTTACGTGTAATATTATTTTAGTAAATAATATGTGGTTAAAAAGAATACAAAAAGTACATTTTGAAAAAAATGACTATCAAACAGGCTCTTAATAATGAAATTTCTGATGAATATATATAAAAATATATAGGAAATTTCAAACTTTTTATTTGTCAAGGGTGTAATGATCGAGCATAAACAATAACTTAATGTTTAATAAATAGAACTGAACAACAATTGTCAATACGATACTTCATAAAAAATAGCTACAACACCCTTATAGAAATTAGAAAAGCCCCAAAATAACTAAACACTAAGAATAATATAATCTTCGCTATGTGGTATAAAACAATAATGATCGAAATAATGCATAAAGGGTTAATTTTTCTTCTTTATGTCAAAGTGTAGACTACTTAGATCAGGTGTAGAGTTTAATGAAAGAACGTGTGTGAGAAAAAAATATTTTTAAAGAATCTGTATAAATATAGACTAAATTTGTAAAAATCTCGTTAAAGTGCATTATTATTATTATAATAAGTCATGCTCATGACAAAATATATTAAAATTATTTTATTTCATATAATTGAATTTTATGGAGATAAAATGTTAGTAGATTAGAGTTGATTAAACTCTCATAGATAACGTGCAGGTAAAAATAAATGTCGATTCATCCGATGATAAGTATATAGGAAATGCTTAATAGGAAAAACTCTTTCTGGGTCCCACATTTTGGTCAAACACAGTCGGTTTCTTTCTATAAATCCAACACAGCGAGGCTGAAAACCCAGTTATAGTGTAGTAGTTTGCAGTTTGCATTGCTCTGCATCGGCGTTTTGGATTTGGATTCCCCCAAATCTCTACAATTTCCCGTTTTTTTTTTAGTTATTTATTCTGATTTTTTCTCTTTTAACCCAAATCTTCCGCCGTGCATGGTGAGAGATTAACTCATAGATCTTCATTTTGGGTTGGGTTTTGATAAATTTGAACAATAGGTCCTTGTTGGGCTTCATCTCTTGAGAATCGGTTGTTATATAAAGTTAAAACGGTATAAAATTTGGCAGATCTGGTGTTTTTGTGTTATAAGATATCTGGGTGTCTTAATTAATCATATCCAATAAAAATCGGCGAATAATAATTGAAAACTAATTGAAAAAAAATTGTGATTGTAAAGAATGTCGGTGGCGTCGGGATCCGGGATTCAGGTGAGGAGTAGCGCCGGAAGTGGTTTGGTGGTAAAGCCATGCGGGAGTCGCCAGTTGAATACAGTGGCGGCGCTGAGCAGGGTGGGGATGAACAGAAGAGATAGGGTTTCGAGGGGGTTGGTGAAGAGGAACGTCGGTGGTTTGGATAACAGGTTCATTTCAGGGACGGTGGTTCGGGGTGGTGCTGCGGGGTTGCGCACGGAAAGTTTGCATCTTTGGCGCACGGACGGGCCTGGCCTGGCGCCGAAGCTGGTGATCAAGAATGCCTTGTCTCAGGTGCCCGAGAAGCCGCTGGGGCTGTATGATCCTTCCTTGGACAAGGACTCGTGTGGGGTCGGGTTCGTCGCTGAACTCTCCGGTGAAAGCAGCCGTAAAACGGTACCTGTTATTTGTCCATATACATATGCATATATGCATAGTGGCACACATAAATATTGCAGTGCGTCCAATTGTGGAATTCTTTTATAGAGATTTAATTGTTAACCGGTATGTAGGTTACTGATGCAATAGAGATGTTGGTACGGATGTCACATAGAGGTGCATGTGGGTGTGAGACAAATACTGGGGATGGAGCTGGAATTCTCGTGGCTCTTCCTCATGATTTCTACAAGGAGGTTCGCCTTATTCGATTTAGTGTGTTCTTTCTTAATTTCCTAATACATAACTGCCTACTTTTCCGTTTATGGTACTGGTTGATTCTTTTTCATGTTACTTATGTTGGGGAATTGGATTTGAATGAGATCAATGTTTCTCTTTGATTTCAATGTTGTTTGGTATTTACAGTAGATTTAATTGTTTGGCTTTTCTATGGGGGTTCGTGTATTGTCAAAGGAGTTGTTGACTTCTATACCTCTAATAAAACTAGAAAAAAAGTGTACTTTAAAAAAAAAAACCTGAAGAACGGATTTTCAGTGCGTTTTATTGATCGGAGTTGATACTTGTTTGTTGATGATAATTGTTTCTTGTTCATGATGTATCAGTCTGCTAAGGAAGCAGGATTTGAGCTTCCCCGACCTGGTGAATATGCAGTGGGCATGTTTTTCTTGCCCACTTCTGAAAGTCGGAGGGAACAAAGCAAAATTGTATTCACAAAGGTAGTACCAAGATCAAAACTTCTTTAGCTGAAAAAGATTTTGTCTCATAAATTATGATATCTGATTTTTTTGGCATAAATTACTTTGCAGGTTGCGGAATCGCTTGGGCACACTGTCCTTGGCTGGCGGCCTGTCCCCACAGATAACTCAGGGTTGGGCAAGTCTGCTTTGCAGACAGAGCCAGTAATTGAGCAAGTGTTTCTTACACCTACTCCCAGGTCGAAGGCAGATTTTGAGCAACAGGTAGATTCCAAGAGCTGATAGTGATATAATTGATAATTAATCCAGTTAAAATAAGTTAAAGACCGTTAGATCTTACACATTCAAAATTTGTAACTTGCTCTTCTTTTTTCTGCTTCCTTGCAGATGTACATATTAAGGAGGGTTTCGATGGTGGCTATCCGAGCTGCATTAAACCTCCAACATGGTGGTGTGAGAGATTTCTATATATGTTCTCTTTCCTCAAGGTTCATTTCTTGGAGAGATCTGTTCCTTTTCAATGTGAATATTTTTGTTTGCTATGACTTTTTTGAATTTTATTTTTTGATGATATCTGTCTGTTTTATGCAGAACTATTGTCTACAAAGGTCAGTTGAAGCCCAATCAGTTGAAGGAATACTACTACGCTGATCTTGGAAATGAAAGGTTTACGAGCTACATGGCCCTGGTAAATATATTTTCTCCATTCTCTGTTTTATTTCTGTGCTGACTCCACATTCAATAACGAACAGCATTGGATCAACTGGTTAACTGAAGCAATGCAAGGTTGAGGAATGACTTCTGAGGCATTGAAGTATGAATGATCTCTTAAGTTCTTCCACACCCTTGATCTTATTTGACTTTGATGCCGCATTGGATTCTTTGGTGAATTGGTAAGGAACCTCATTACGAAGTAAATAATGCATGCAGAAACTTGGTGCCTTGCTCTATGATCTTTTTGTGAGGATCAAAAACCGTCTTAATGATGGAAATGAAATTGTGTTCGGTCAAGGTAGTCTAAGGTTCACAATATGGTAGTACTAACCCTGCTGCATTTAGTTTTAGATGTGCCCTGAATACAATTGTCATTATGTGTAGATTCCAAATCTTCTTTACATGGGTGGAATTGGGACTGAGTTATCTCTCTCCTTGATTTTTTTTTTTTTTTTTTTCAAGATACACTCTAGGTTTTCAACAAACACATTTCCCAGCTGGGATCGCGCTCAGCCCATGCGTGTCCTGGGACACAATGGAGAAATAAACACACTACGGGGAAATGTAAACTGGTAAGTATCTTGATGCGTTATCTCTCTCTATATTTGTTACTGTTACAATTGTTTTCTTAATAGGCTGTGCAGAAATTTTAGCCTCTATTTGGCTCCCTTTTTTAAAACTCATTTTTACTTTTTAGCCATAAAATTCATTGGACCCACTATCATTTTTTCAAACGGACATTTCATTAGGACCCTTTTGTTTCCCATTCTTTATCCCAAAAAATGAAAAATATGACCGTTATTCATCACATCAAATTACATATTTGACTTCCTCTCTCTTGTGTGGGTCCAGTAACGGCTATATTTTTCATTCTCATTCTTATAAGAATGGGAATCAAACGGGGGCTTAATTTTTATCAAAATCTTCTAAAATTCTGATTTTTCACTAAACCGACTAGGGCTTAATTGGATGGCCCAGTTAATTATTGGTAAACAATGGATAGTTAGAATCACTGTTCTTGTTGCTTCAATATATTTTCAGTTGGAACCTGAACGAGTCAACCTTGATTTCTGTTGTTAGACTAACTGATTTCCTAGTCTTTGATTACTTAAATTTGAATTTTCATGCTAGTAAAAATTTGTCTGGGATACTGTTGTATTATTTAGCTTCTTATATGCTACCTGAGTTTATATGCCCAGTACAAGGGAGACTGTTGGATGCCAATCCAGTGACTTTTGTGTCATTTTTTTAAAGCTAATGTGGATAGAACTGACCGTCGCACTTGCTGTTATTATTCAAACTAGGATGAAGGCTCGTGAAGGACTGTTAAAGTGCAAGGAGCTAGGCTTGTCAAAGACAGAGATGAAGAAGCTTCTACCAATTGTAGATGCCAGCTCATCAGATTCAGGTTACATATACCCATTTCTTCATATGATCGCATGTGTATGGATTTGACATGCTCGCCTTCATGATTCGTATCTAGTGGTATCAATTCATTTTAGTAAAAAGAAGTAGATCACAATGCTACAAATGCTGATGCTCAAATATTCACAATTTGCCTGAAGTGTCTGATATTTCTGCGAATAGCTGAATTTTGCTTTCTTCATACATCAGGAGCATTTGACGGGGTTCTTGAGCTTTTGGTTAGAGCTGGCAGGAGTCTTCCTGAGGCTATAATGATGATGATTCCTGAAGCCTGGCAAAATGATAAGAACATGGACCCTCATCGTAAGGCCTTGTACGAGTACTTCTCAGCCCTCATGGAACCATGGGACGGCCCTGCTCTCGTATCATGTATGAGTTTTCATTGGTATTTATTTTAAAATTGCGTCAGATGATTGCACAGTTATTTGATGCTTTAAAGAATACTTTGCAGTTACTGATGGACGCTATCTTGGAGCAACCTTGGATCGAAATGGATTGCGTCCAGGTCGATTTTATGTAACGCATAGTGGTCGAGTTATCATGGCAAGTGAAGTTGGAGTCGTTGATATTCCACCCGAAGATGTCAGCAAGAAAGGAAGACTTAATCCTGGCATGATGCTCCTTGTAGATTTTGAGAAGCATGTTGTTGTAGATGATGAGGCCTTGAAGCAGCAATATTCACTTGCAAGGCCTTATGGAAAATGGCTTGAAAGGCAAAAGCTGGAATTGAAAGACATAGTTGAATCCGTTCAGGAATCTGTCAGGGTTCCTCCACCCATACAAGGAGTTTCACCGGTAAGTTTATAATCTTATTCTTCACCACTGATTCTTTTGCCCCCTTTGCTAATAATTAATCTGCGGCAATTTTAGGCATCTCTTGACAATGACAACATGGAAAACATGGGTATCCATGGTTTATTGGCACCTTTGAAGGCTTTTGGGTAAGATGCTCTGAACCTTGTCAGCTCTTAAATTTGAGAGGCTGTTGGACTTCTGTTTGGAAAAATAAATATACTTCTTGTCCTTCCCATGCAGTTACACCGTTGAAGCCTTGGAGATGCTGTTACTACCTATGGCAAAGGATGGCATTGAGGCCCTTGGTTCAATGGGAAACGATGCTCCATTGGCTGTGATGTCTAACAGGGAGAAGCTCACATTTGAGTATTTCAAACAGATGTTCGCTCAAGTAACTAATCCTCCAATCGATCCAATACGTGAAAAGATTGTTACTTCTATGGAATGCATGGTTGGTCCAGAAGGCGATCTCACAGAAACCACAGAAGAGCAGTGTCATCGCCTGTCACTCAAAGGTCCTCTTTTATCCATTGATGAGATGGAAGCAATTAAGAAGATGAACTACAGAGGCTGGCGAAGCAAAGTTATTGATATCACTTACTCGAAGCATCATGACAGGAATGGTCTGGAGGAGACCTTAGATAAGATATGTTCAGAAGCTCACAACGCTATTAAGGAGGGTTATACAACGCTCGTGCTCTCTGACAGAGGTACTCCTTCCCAGATTTTTGAAATGTTATATCAAGAATGCTTAGTTTGTTCTTTCTCCTTGTATATGAAGTTAATTTATATGCCCTTTTGATGTTTGTAGCCTTCTCGTCTAAGCGTGTCGCGGTGAGTTCCCTATTGGCTGTTGGTGCTGTACATCATCATCTAGTTAAGAAGCTTGAGCGAACACGGGTTGCATTGATCGTTGAATCTGCTGAGCCCCGTGAAGTGCACCATTTTTGTACGCTCGTGGGGTTTGGTGCAGATGCTATCTGCCCTTATTTGGCTATAGAAGCCATTTGGAGACTGCAAGTCGATGGAAAAATTCCTCCTAAAGCAAATGGTGAGTTCCACTCAGAGGATGAACTGGTCAAGAAATACTTCAAAGCAAGCAACTATGGTATGATGAAGGTCCTTGCGAAAATGGGGATATCAACTTTGGCCTCATACAAGGGTGCTCAGATTTTTGAGGCTGTAGGCCTCTCCTCGGAGGTAATGGAAAGATGCTTCAATGGAACTCCAAGTAGAGTTGAAGGTGCCACTTTTCGGGCACTTGCACATGATGCACGCGAGTTGCATGATCTTGCTTTTCCAACACGCACATTACCTCCTGGAAGTGCTGAGGCTGTAGCACTTCCTAATCCCGGAGATTATCATTGGAGGAAGGGTGGTGAGATTCATCTTAACGATCCCCTTGCCATGGCAAAACTGCAAGATGCTGCCCGAACCAACAGTGTGGCTGCCTACAAAGAGTATTCTAAACGCATACAAGAATTGAATAAGTCTTGCAATTTAAGGGGACTTCTTAAATTTAAGGACACCGACTCGAAGGTTCCTCTGGAAGAAGTTGAACCAGCCAGTGAGATTGTAAAACGATTTTGTACTGGAGCCATGAGCTATGGATCTATATCATTGGAAGCACACACAACTTTAGCAATTGCCATGAACAAGCTAGGGGGAAAGTCAAATACAGGCATGTAGCATACTACTGAATTAAGGTTTCCTTTTCTCCACCCCCAGGGGTGTGGTCAGTGGAAGTATTATTTGTGGAAAAAGCACGAATACAATAATTGGGTTGAAGTCCTTTTTGCACCATCCTCGATAGCCATAGATTCTGCTTGGGTATATATATTTTAATTATATGAACCCATTAGCTTTCCTTGATTGTTTTAGTGGAAAGTCATCTTGATTTACGTTTGGTTTGTGCTTACTATTTTCTTGAAATTTTTTCATAATTTTTCTCTGCATCCAGAATTTTTATTTTTGTAAGTTAATTTTCTGAGAAATTCGATGTTCCTAACCGGCTTACTAATGTACCTTACTATTTCTCTTTCGCAGGTGAGGGTGGTGAACAACCATCTCGTATGGAGCCTCTTCCTGATGGTTCAAGGAATCCAAAAAGGAGTGCAATTAAGCAGGTAGCAAGTGGAAGATTTGGAGTTTCTAGTTATTACCTTACAAATGCTGACGAGTTACAGATAAAAATGGCTCAGGTATGCCTTTTTATGGGTCTCATGTCTCATGTTTACTTTGAAGATTGTTGATCCTGCCTATATTGATCTATGTTCTTTTTCATATTTTCCTACTAGTGCGTATTCCTGTTGAAACATAGGTTTCTTTTATTTATATATCCATGTTCATGTACAGAATCTGCTGTGTCTGCAAAGCACCTTTCGGGTGTCTTTGTATCTATAATTGAAACCTGCATTTGGCCTTCGGTGAGATGAATGTTAACTGGAGATTTTTCTCTCTTTGAAGGATGATCTTATTGCTAACTTTAGATTGTCTGTTGCAGGGAGCAAAGCCGGGAGAAGGTGGTGAACTTCCTGGCCACAAGGTCATTGGGGACATTGCTGTCACTAGAAATTCAACTGCCGGTGTGGGTCTAATTAGTCCTCCTCCCCATCATGATATTTATTCAATTGAAGATCTTGCTCAATTGATTCATGACCTCAAGGTAATTATTTCTACTCCATTTATATGATCATCTTTGATATTTTAAACTCCCCTTGTGGGTGCTTGTACATTGGAGCAGATGTGTATCCATCATTTTTTGAAACATGATGTATGACTTCCTCATTATCTCTTCCTTTTTGATATATTTTTTGTTGATTTACTTGTGCAGAATGCCAATCCTGGGGCACGTATAAGTGTGAAGTTGGTTTCTGAAGCTGGTGTTGGAGTTATTGCTAGTGGTGTTGTCAAGGGTCACGCTGATCATGTTCTAATCTCTGGTCATGATGGTGGTACAGGAGCCTCAAGATGGACTGGTATCAAGAGTGCCGGGGTTCCATGGGAACTTGGTCTTGCAGAGACCCATCAAACCCTAGTTGCTAATGACCTGCGGGGTCGAACTGTTCTTCAGACTGATGGTCAACTAAAAACCGGGAGAGATGTGGCCATAGCTGCACTTCTTGGTGCAGAGGAGTTTGGTTTTAGTACCGCTCCCCTTATCACGCTTGGCTGCATCATGATGCGGAAGTGCCACAAAAACACTTGTCCAGTTGGGATTGCCACCCAGGATCCAGTTCTCAGAGAAAAGTTTGCAGGTGAACCTGAACACGTCATAAATTTTTTCTTCATGCTGGCGGAAGAGCTGAGGGATATAATGTCTCAACTAGGGTTTCAAACGATTAATGAAATGGTTGGCCGTTCAGACATGCTTGAATTGGATAAAGATTTGGCCAAGAACAATGAGAAGCTAAAGAATATTGACCTGTCCTTGTTACTTCGACCAGCTGCTGATATTCGTCCAGAAGCTGCACAGTATTGTGTGCAGAAACAGGATCATGGTTTGGACATGGCCTTGGACAACAAACTAATAGCTTTGTCCAAACCTGCTTTAGAGAAAAGTTTCCCTGTGTATATTGAGTCACACAAATTCTTGCAAGCACACAAGAAAAAGAATCTGCAAAAGCAGCTGCTGAACATGCTGCCAAAGAAGCTGAGGTGCAGGAAGAGGAAGAGTTGATGGAGAAAGATGCTTTTGAAGAGCTTAAGAAGCTGGCAGCTACATCCTTGAATGAAAAAGACTGTCAGGTAATTATCTTCGGTCATTGTTCATCATGCAGCTATATTGTTTGCACTTTGCGCTAGTTAGAGAATTTTTTGATGAAATGGCATCATCCTTGGTGCAATAACTAATGATTGAAACCAAAGAATACTACAAAAACAGACTAAGCCTTGTTTCCAATAAGCTTGGATTCTGCTACAAGAATCCTTTTTTTAGCTCCGATATGTTCATTGCTGGATATGCTTAGCAACCTCAGAAGACCTTCTTAATTTTCGTCTGCCCGTCCTAACCTGTTCTACTGTTATATACCTATTAATCTATCAACACGTTATGTATGCTCATTTATTTGAAGCACATATATAGAATATTTCTGGGTACTTCTGATGTTAGGTAATATCTGTACTGGAATAGCAGTATGACGTCTTGTATATAGATGGTAGTTAATGTAATGGCAGTATAACGTCATGTGTGGTCTGTACTAGACTTTTTTTTTCCGTATTTTTTTGGGTTCGTTCTTGACTTTTTGAAAAATCAACAGGCTGAGGAGGACAAACAATCGAAGAGACCTACTAGGGTTCCAGATGCTGTGAAGCACCGAGGTTTTGTTGCCTATGAGCGAGAGAGCATTTCGTACAGAGAACCTAGTATTCGGATGAATGACTGGAAAGAAGTTATGGAAGAATTAAGACCTGGCCCACTTCTGAAGACACAATCTGCTCGTTGTATGGACTGTGGCACTCCTTTTTGTCATCAGGTAAGATAGATTATAGCAAGATTTCTTACTAGCATGATTGATATGTAATATTGAATTTTGTTGCTTAGGATACATGTGTCATATAAAATTGCAGGAGCATTCTGGATGCCCTCTTGGAAATAAAATTCCTGAATTCAATGAATTGGTGTACCAAAATAGATGGCATGAAGCATTGGATAGGCTCATGGAGACTAATAACTTTCCTGAGTTCACGGGCCGGGTATGCCCTGCACCTTGTGAAGGGGCTTGTGTCCTTGGTATTATCGAGAATCCCGTCTCTATCAAAAGCATGGAGTGTGCTATAATAGACAAAGCTTTTGAGGAGGGATGGATGGAGCCACGACCTCCCCTGAAGAGAACTGAGTATGTTTTCCATAAATATGTTGTACTTCACTTTGTTGCTTGGGCATGTGTATATCTTGGATTTGTAGCATGAGATCCTAATTATGTTCCCTATTACAGGAAAAAAGTTGCCATTATTGGAAGTGGGCCTGCTGGCTTAGCTGCTGCTGACCAGTTAAATAAAATGGGTCATACTGTGACCGTGTTTGAGCGGTCCGACAGAATTGGTGGTCTTATGATGTACGGGGTGCCTAACATGAAGGCCGATAAAGTCGATATTGTCCAAAGACGGGTTAACCTCATGGAAAAGGAAGGTGTAAACTTTGTGGTAAATGCTAATGTTGGGAAGGATCCTGCATACTCGCTTAATCAGCTTCGTAAGGATCATGATGCTATTGTTTTGGCTGTAGGAGCCACGAAGCCAAGGTGAGCAATATTATTTTCAGGCTATTCTTATTGCATAACTTTACAATTTTGTCAGTAATCTTACTAGATATTCTGGAATAATTTGGCAGGGACCTCCCTGTTCCTGGACGAGAACTGTCTGGAGTCCATTTTGCAATGGAGTTTCTTCATGCTAATACGAAAAGCTTGCTCGATAGCAATCTTAAGGATGGTAATTACATCTCTGCCAAGGGCAAGAAGGTAGTGGTAATTGGTGGGGGTGACACCGGTACAGATTGTATTGGAACATCTATCAGACATGGTTGCAGCAGCATCGTAAATCTAGAGCTTCTCCCTGAGCCACCACGAACTCGAGCAGCTGGAAACCCTTGGCCTCAGGTTGGACCTGACTGTATTTTTAACCAGTCAGTATCTCTATGGTTAACTTTATCTATGGTTAATTAAAAGAATGTTTGCGAAGTGTTCATAAATGACGGTGGATGAGTGGGTAGTACTTGTTCCGTTGAAATGTGTAGATAAATAGTGGCTTGAGTGTTTTATAATCACGAGGCAAACATAGGCTAAGTAAATAAGTTTGTTCTAGAACAAATAATGTTTTGTTGGTGGAAATTGGAAATAAGCAAGTAAACTACTGTCAAAATAAGTAACTTTTTACTTATAACTAAGAGAATAATAAGTTATCCAAGCTTGTTTGGAAAGAATCGTACTTTAAAATGTAAGTCTTATTTTTACGCTTTGCCAAACATGCTCAAATATAACTTTTGTAGACTTGTTTATTCCAAATTCTGTATGTCTTAGCTAAAAATGGTATTCTTTTCTTTTGTGGTTGTCTTGTGTCATCACCTATTTGGTCATGGTGTATTTATTTATGTAAGTATACAAGTAGACTTGTATTTGATGCCTATTATTTAAAATGCAGATTCTGAATTTTGGAAGTTTAATATAATTCTACCAAGATAAAGAAAATTAAAATATGAAATTTGTCTGCACTTCCCCTCTCTTTCTTGACATCATTAATTAATTTTCATCTGTTGAATGTTGGCAGTGGCCCCGCATATTCCGTGTAGATTATGGGCATCAAGAAGCTGCATCGAAGTTTGGCAAGGATCCTAGGTCTTATGAGGTTATGACAAAGCGGTTTGTTGGAGATGAGCATGGAGTGGTGAAAGGACTGGAGATTGTGCGTGTCCATTGGGAGAAGGATGCAATTGGGAAGTTTTCATTTAAAGAAGTTGAAGGCAGTGAGGAGATCATTGAAGCTGATTTAGTCTTACTAGCCATGGGATTCCTCGGGCCTGAATCAGTTAGTATTCTGAACTTTAGCTTGGATTTGCTCCTGTACATTGACAATGTCATTAATTTTATATCCTCTCCGTCTTCTTTTTGCTTCTCTTTTCCTTTTCTTTGTGGGTTGGTTTGCTAGGCCCAAGTTTTGCAGCATTTTTGGCTAAGCTTAAAAAGTTTACTTACCCGTAAATAAGTGAGGTTTAAAGGAGTTGAAAATAATTCATTTAAACATGCTTTGACTGAATGTTGTGAAATTCTCACGTGGCTTATATTATCTTCCTCGGTTTTTGCAGACTCTACCTGAAAAACTGGGCTTGGAGAGGGACAATAGGTCCAACCTCAAAGCAGAATATGGACGCTTCTCAACCAATGTGGAAGGGATTTTTGCTGCTGGAGATTGCCGCCGTGGTCAATCTCTAGTCGTGTGGGCAATTTCCGAAGGCCGACAAGCAGCTGCACAAGTTGACAATTACCTAATGAAAGATGAGAATGACGTCCTGATTAGCACAGAGAGACCTGAAGAATCGACAAAGACACAAGATAGCAACAGACAAGCAGTTATGACGTAGACCGCTTAAGTTTCACTTCATACCATGTTGTCTGAAGCAAGGGAAGACGGGGTCATAGACTTATCCTTTGTTGGATAATGAAGGGGTAGAAGCCAAACATAACAGAATGTTCAAGCCGGAATTTAGGCCTTGAGATTCTGATAGTTGTATTCTGGTGTTTATAGAGTTGCAAGTGTTGGGTGCTTAAATTTTGGCATCTTTGTCATGTTAAACTAATAATGTACAGTTTTTGTTTGTTCGATGTTTTGATGGAAATGAATATATGGGGAATTCTAGTTGAATTTACACCTCCTTTTGGTTACTATTTTTGCTGGAATCGCCGAGCTATCGACCATCTCATCTAAAATCTTTAAATTGTTAATAGAAAAAGGATTAAACTTCGTATTGAAACATTTGCAGATTTTATAAATGGAACGTGACAAAACTTTAAACACCCCCCCCCCCCCCCCCCCCACACATTATGAAAATGAAATTTAAAAAGGAAAAAAATAATTTAAGATAATACAAGAAATTATGGTATTTCTTATTTCTTTATTATATTTCATATATTAATGTGCCATATTTTAACTTTTAAACAAATAAATTTTAGATAATACAAATTATATTTAAAAATGTATTCCATGGCAATCTAATTAAAATATGGGAAATTTACACATAAAAGCTAATAAAATAAAGAATTTCCAAACTACTATTTAAACTTTTTTTCTTCAAAAAATACTGCATTCTAAATATTTTTTTTATTTTTTATTTTTATTTTTTAATAATAACAGGAATCCATGAAGACTTCATTTTAGGTATCGACTCCACAAAAAAAAAGGTAAACAATCAAAAATCAATTGATTACTCCATTTTATCCAATAAACCAGCAAAATCCGTGATCTTAATCTGCCGAACTTATCAAATTGTATCCGTTGGCTTGGCTCCTGGAAGAAAAAGTTGGCGGTTTTCCTTTTTTTTTTTTTTTTTAATGAAATGTTAAGTTGATTGCTTCGATTTCAAAGATTACTACAATACGGATGTCTCACTTGATAAATTGGTTTGTTACATCTCTTACTGTGTGCGTTACTTGTGAACCAATTGTTAGGAGGTTCTATTATTTTTCTCTAATGGATTAAGAGGACATTGAAATGTCACGTCTACCAATAGGTTAAACAAAACTCGATGTTTTCGTCTTAATGTGTTACATTTCAAAATCTGGATTTGTTTCCCATACAAAATTATTTGCATAGAAAGGTTGCAATGAAGTTGTGAATCTTGAGCCAATTGTTTGAAGAGTCTCATTATTTTCTGTTTTGGATTACACAATAAGTAACATTGATTTAGGGAATTTGATAAGAGTGAATTATCATATGGTACATTACGATTAAAAGGTTGCATTATTTGCTACATTATATATCACACTGCAATGCAAAATTTGCGACTTAATAATGGATACATTGTGGCATTTTTGTTTGTGTGCATCTAATAGTCACAAAATGTCCCTATGTTTGACCTTTAGTATAAAAACATCCCTAAATTTCAATTTTTGCATTTTCACCCCTATTTTCACATTTTATTATGAAAAAAGTCCTTTCATCAATTTTTATCCAATTTTTCAACTAAAAATTATAAAATGATAAGCATGCCCTATTATTTAAATAAAACAAAAAGAAACGAAAGAAAAATAAAGAATAAATTGTAATCATACTCTCAATTTTTTCAAAAAAGTACAAATAACCAATTAGTTCATCGATGGTCCACAAGTGTGATGGTTCTAATGATGATTTTGCTCGAAACTCAAATAAATTAGATAAAAAATAAAAAAAATAGAAAAATAATCTTCTACTTCCTCATCCCCACTATAAAACGACCCTGAAAATAGATTCACAGATTCTAAATGGATGTAGAAATACTAAAAACTAACATCTCATATTTTCTTACTGGAGGATGTAGAAATACTTAGATCAATTTTCGGATTAAACAAAAGGGGGCTTTTCTTCTCATTATTGTTGGTGGCGTTGTTCTTGATTTCCACAGGTTTTCTTGAACAAGAACGACTTTTCTGCAAGTGGCGCTCATAGTATTTGTGATGGGGCACATCTCTTGAGCACCTCCATTTCTTGCCATCCATCGCTTGCACCTTTCGAGATGACCAGTCACTGCACTCAAACACTAATACAAAGAAACAACTATTTAAAATCCACATCTAATCGGGTACCAGAAGTGTAAAAAAAAAAATCATCGAAGAAAAAGAAGAGCCGATTTACAGGAAATTGAAAGGTTTGATGGTGCATGAAAGGGAAGATCAGGAGGCATAGGCATAGAGGCCATCATGTAGTTATAGATCATGGCTTGTCTTTTTGTGCTAATAAGCTGTTTAATTAATAAGGGCAGGAAATGTCTTGAATTATCGTCCCAATACTTTCCTCGTTTTGTTATATCTCAGGGATTAAGAAGCGAGTCACATGTGGGACAATGGGACGTTCTGCACATGACATGGGACATTCTGTTTGTTCTTTCATGTAAATTTTAGTTGTTGACATTGTTACCTATGATACTTTGAAAAACTTAAGGTGCGTTTGGTTTGTCGTTTTCAATTTTCAATTTTGCAAAACACTGAAAAGTTTTTGATGTGATATTTCGAAAAATACATTTCCGAAAACAAGCTTAAAATTATAACATAAAACTTAAAATGCATTTTTGACGTTTTGAGTTTTTTTAGTGAAAATTCTGAAACGCGGGGAAAACAAGTGTTTAAATAAAAATTTATTTAAATAAATTTAAAAATTATTTTTTTAATAAATAAAAAATAAAAATTTAAAATTCAAAAAAAATATTTAAATGAACACAAATAAAAATATGATCAGTTCACGTTATTAATTTTTATTTTTATTTTCTATATCTTGAACTCAATTTATTATTTATTTTTGTTTAACTTTTGTAGGGAGAAAAAATATTGTAAGATTTATCAACTTTAAATTGTATATATTACTTGATAATAAATTAAAATAAAATAGTTCTATTTTTACTGATTAATCAAATATAATGAAATTAAATGTCATAAAATATTTTTTCAAAATTTCAAATCAAACATCTTTTCTAATTTTTATTTTGAGAAATAGTTTTCTAAAATGACAAATCAAACACATTTTTAACAATTTTAAAAAAACCCTCCAAACAGAAAATTGAAAATGAATTCAAAACTGAAAACTGAAATACAAACCAAATGGATTCTTACATTCTTGCAAACTTTGGGTTCAGCTCGGAGGCCTTCCTAGTCAATTTAAGCCAACCATTGTCACGATTTTGTTTGGCATATCTGAGTTGTTGATAAATTCTTTCTAGGCCTCCTCACTCAAGAAGATGAATATAATTACTCAGCTATATAATGCTTTGTTGTATTTATTTTTATTTTTTTCTATATCCAATTCATGTTTGGTTTGAACTTGTATGTGTAGTAGGACTAGGAGTGTGAGCTCTCTCTCAGAGCACATATGTATTTGGACAGGTGGAACTTATTTTTCATTTCATTATTTTGTAATTAAGTTCTTATTTGCTACTCTGTTCTATTAAAACATATATAAATAAAATGAAAAGTTCTTGCAATTACACCTAAAATTTTTGTACTTTAAATATTTTTTCAATATTATCAAATTTTGACTTGGATTTTGGTGTTAAACGGTAAAGATTTCACATTAGCATTATGGATTAGATCTAATTTTCGACTGAATGAATGAATGTTGCCGTTTTCTAAGTAAATATATCGTGGGATTCATGCAACTTTACTTCAATTATGATGTGACCTTTTCTTTCTGGACGCTCAAATCAATGCTATTTTTTAAATTTAATGAGTAATGGCCATAATTTCCACATTAAACGATTTCAATGAACTTAGAGCTCAAGGTCCAGCCTAGCCTGATGCCAAAACACAAGGGTGTTTATGAGTCAAATCCATTTCTCATTTTAGTTAAAATTACACAATGTGCTAATATTTTGTTAGAAATAAATAAAAAACACAAACTTAAGAGGGTAATTTGCTCATCATGTTTGACTCAAAGTTAATGCTCGATACAGAATGAAAAACTATTCTCCCATCATTTTAGTAGGATATTCATATTTGTTTCATCTCTATGTGGTCCAAAAGTCTGAGTAGCATAATATATTATTCATTGTAAATTTATACAATGAAGTTGTCCGGATCTGGGACGGACCCAGAATTATAATTCAGTAAGGGCGAGACAAAAAATGTGCTAAAGTAAATTGTAAAAGAAATTAAAAAATTTTGGAAATTTAAATTTAAAAAGGTCCAATCGAAAGTTTTTGAAAATTCAGTGGAGGAGGCCGACCGCACTTGTCCCTTAGTGGGTCCGCCCCTAGTCCAGATGGCCTCCATGTTGAACCGACTCAATAAAGATGGTGGAGTCACCACTATATTAGTTGTGCAATCCCATGCATTCTATATCAAATTAAATTTTATCGCTTGCATTATATTTTCCCTTGGACCCACTTCCTTGGTCGGCTGACTTTAAACACCAAGTCTTCCATGGCGTGTAGCAACTCTGCATTCATTTTCACTTATGGCTCTTGTGATAGTTTAAGATCCCCGGTTAAGATCATCTCCAACCCTGCACCAAATTTTGCACCAAATCTTGCATCAAACTAAAATTTATCTCAAACCATTACACCAAAAATTACACCAAATGAACATTGTTTAACCATTTTCTTCCCTTTTTTTATACTTTATAATCTACTTATTTGAAATATTATTTATTTAATTATTTCTTAAATACATAAATTACTAAATAAATAATTACGTTAAATTACGGAAAAGATTAAATTCATTAATAAATATAAAAAACATAGAACAATTAATAAAGATACTACAACAACGAAAATATGAAATTATGCCATTAGAAAATAGTACAATGCATTTCGAATTTGGATGGACGATATTACGAAGTCGCTAAATTTTTGCAATTTAATTCTCAAGATTCATATGTTCATTCCATAAATGATCGATTAATGCATTTTGAAGTGCAATGTGAGTTTCTTTATCCTTGATTTGTCTATGAGGAGCAAGAAATTCCTGAAAATGTCAATTTTCGTCTTCAACCAACTCAACTTCTGAACTTGACGCTTCCGTCCATTCTTGAACTGGTGCATCAACATTACGTTCGTCTTCGATAATATTGTTATGCATTATTATGCATGTAGTCATAATATCATGTAATACTTGTTTTTCCCAAAACCTTGCGGGTCCTTTTGTTATTGCAAACTTCGATTGTAGAACACCAAATGCACGTTCAACATCTTTTCTACACGTTTCTTGTTTCATAGCAAATAACTTTTTTTTAGGACCACGCAGCTCATGAATTGTTTGCACAATGGTAGACCATTTCGGGTATATACTATCAGCTAGATAGTAACCCACGTTATATTGTCTTCCTTGAATGACACATTGAGCTGGAGGAGCAATACCTTGAGCGAGGTTTGCGAAAAGATGAGATCTCTCCAAAACGTTGATATCATTGTTCGAACCAGGAAGTCCAAAATATGCATGCCATATCCAAAGATCATAATCAACTACAGCTTCGAGGATAATAGTTGGGGATCCACTACGACCTGCATATTGTCATGCCCATGCGGTTGGACAATTTTTCCATTTCCAATGCACTTTTTTATGTATCTTTTTTTAAAAAAAAAAAATTAGATTATTGTATGTATGTTGCTATTTAATATATTTCGTGTTACATTTAATAAATAATCATGTTTGATGTATTTTAAATTGTTTTCGTCTTTTAATTAGTTTATTAATTATTATGTCTTACATTTAAAATTTAGTTTAAACACAAATAATATTAATATTAATAAAAATAATAATAATTTATTGTATTAAAAAATATATAGCACAAATTACATAAATACCCTCAACAAATTTATTTGAAAAATTTTAAATAAGGGTAAAATGGACATTTTACACTTGCACCATTTTGGTGCAAAATGGTGCAAAGTTTGGTGTTGGGTTGGAGTAATTTTGCACCAAAAAATGGTACAAAATGGTGCAATGGTGTTTTGGTTGGAGATGCCCTTGGCAATTGAAATCTGGCAATAGTAACATAGGCGCACCACTTCAATTTGGCTCTCTTCATCCCAATCCCCAAACAAGCACTTGTGTGAATTTGTATGCTCTTGAAATTTCAATATTCTATATTCTGTCCTTCGTTTTCTGGTTTTAGAAAATATGCCCCTGAATTTTTTAGATTAGCAAAAGCTACCCTAATTTTTCTGGAAATTAGTCCCTAAATTTTATCTTTGCTACGAATCAATACCCAAATTTTACGATTTCTGCAAATTAACCCCTGGGCTTTTTCATGTTGCAAATCGGTTTCTATTGGCCCACTTTGAAAACTCTGTCCATAGACAACCAACTAGAATTCACTTAATTTTCTTTGAGCTGTACCCAACCAAATATTAGCTAGATGGTCCATTCTATGGCCCAAATTTAAGTCATTTGGAGGCCCACTTAATGCCATTGGGCTAAAAATTTTATCCACCGTCAAGGTACAATCGTTCTACTCTTCAATGGGAAATCACAGGGGTCGTCAGTGCTATAGAAAATATACTAGGGGATCATTTTGATATAGCGCTAATAAGTTGGTGACTTTTGGAACATTTTTTCTAATGTATAACTTTTGAATGAAAAAAATAAATTTAATCAGAGCAAGTTCGAGAAAATCTTAATAAATAATTTCATTCATTCTTAAATAATTAAAACTTTTAAGTGAGCCGGTTCAACAGTTCCTTATCGTTACAAAACTTATGACCTATTCACGACATATAATTTTTCAGCATATAGCTAAAAGTCCATGGAGGTAACTTCTTGCTAATGAGTGCTATTAATTGTTTTTTTTTAAAATATGACCATATCATATAATCCATAAAAAATTAACTCAAATAAAATAATTTAGGCAAGAATCAATAATAGAAGTCGTACTTGACATTTCGATTAAGAGCATACGTGTCTAAAACATAAGAAAGCATTAAGAAAAAAGAAATTGATCAAAGTTAAAAATACATTACATCTTTTATCTCTAAGATAAGGAATATACTTCTAAAAAACTAATTTTATTTTACTTAAATGTAAAGAAATAAAAAAAAGAGAAAAAGGAAAGTTATTTATACATTTTGTATTTGAAAAAAAAAACACTTTATTTTTTCTAGACCGAGGAAAACATGCTATGAGTTTTCAAGCAGAATAAAAACGAAAAAAATAAATAAATAAAAGTTATTGTTTTGAGATCTGAATTTTTAAGTCTAAATTTTAAGAACCATTATATACGTACATCATTTTTCACAGCACACACACATGCAAGTGGGTGTGGTCCACAATTAAAATAATTGTGGACCCCACCTTTGTGAGTTGGTGTGAAAATTGCTGTCAAAAAACATGCTGTACAAACAATATTTTTCAAATTTTAATACCCTAATTGGAGAATTATTGCAAATTAAAAATCAACTTTAATTTCTCAAGATTTTCGTTGACTCAAAAGTCTTCCCTTTACAAGTTCAAGGAATTTCATGATTAACATATTTTCTTTCTTCAATTACCAAAGTCAAAATCATATGACCCACCCCTCAACAATAAATCAATCAGCGTGGACCCCAAAATATTAACTGATACATTCGTTGACTCAAAAAGTCTTTAACTTTTAACCAGTTTATACGGAATGGAATTATATAATTTTAAATTTTAGAATACAAGACTATGAGATGAAGTGTTAACTTTTAACCACTTTGATACTGAAAAGTTGTCCTAAACCAAAATTAATTTTATTTATTTTTATTACTTTCTACTAGACTATAAAGTATGGTTTTTACAAGTTCGAGCCCCATATAATCAAATTCCATGATTATAGTCAATTATGAAAACGAAATCATAGAACTAGGGGCGTTAAGACTTGACTAGTGCATAGCAAGCCATAGTAGGGGTATAAAGATTGACTCGACCCATCACACGACCTGACTCATACTTGCTTTGGGACGGGTGGAGCATTAGTTGACTCGTTACAAGAGGTGATTTGCCCCCACTCGTAGCTCGCAAAAACACTTTTTATTTATTTTTTTAATTGAAAATACAAAGAAATAAAAAAATTAATAAATTTGTATTCAGGCATCCCATGTGCCATCTTATCATGTAATCTGCAGCTGCAAAAATCAACCTATAGCTGAGCTAGGTAAGCCAAAGAGCTTGGAGTGCGAGCAACTCGCAGAAAAATTCTAGTTCGGGTCGCCTTATTTCCCACTCCTACATATCCCTAAACATTAAATTAATCAATATGGATCCACTATTAAATAGGGACTACGTTAATTTGCATGAACGACCCCTAGAATTTCAATATTGTGCATCACTGCCTGTGTTTTTTGATTTTAGAAAACATACCCCTGAATGTTTTGTATTAGCAAAAGGCTCCCTGGATAATCTGAAATCTATGATTCTGCCCCTACATCGCATTTCACACCCTTTATGGAATTCATGATTAATGTATTTTTTATTTTCTTTCCAATCACTAAAGTCAGAATCATAGATTCCATCCTTCAACAATAAATCAATCAATGTGGACCGCAAAAAATTAATTGATACATTGGTTGACTCAAAAAGTCTTTAAACCCCTTTATACGAAATGAAATTATATAATTTTGTCCATGCATAGCTAAAAGTCAGAAATTCCACCCTTCAACACCCTTTTACGGAATTCCACGATTAATGTATTTTTTCTTTTCAATTACTAAAGTCAGAATCATAGTTTCTACCATTCAACAATAAACCAGTCAATGTGGACCGCAAAATATTAATTAATTCGTTTATTGACTCAAAAAGTCTTTAAACCCATGTCTACGAAATGAAATTATATAATTTTGTCCATGCATAGCTACAAGTTAGAACCATAGATTCCACCCTTCAACAATATATCAATTAATGTGGACCGCAAAATATTAATCAATACGTTTGTTGACTCAAAAAGTCTTTAGACCCGTATATGCGAAATGAAATTATATAATTTTGTCCATGCATAGCTAAAAGCCTTAAAACTTTAAAGTCCATGGGGTTGCTTTCTGATAACGAGTTTTGTTAATTATCAAACATTTTGTTGTATATTTCCAAATCATTTAAAAAATAAAATAAAATAAAATTGATAGTACACAAGTTGTGCTTTGACTGTATTAAGGGCATGTACCAAAGCTTAAGAAGTTCAATTATAAGTAATTTAATTATATATGAATGTAAGTAATATAAATATTTTTTATTGTTTGAAATTATAAATAAGTTTCTTATTTTGACATTAAATAATGACTACTATAAAAAATAACTTTGTTTTCTTAAGTGTATAAAAAAGTTGTGTTAAATATATTTAAAGAAAAAAATTCCTTAAAAAAAGTTCCAAGTTGTGCTGGGCGATTAAGTTTAGGATAAATGAAAGAAAAAAAAAATGAAAGTTGTCATTTTAAAGGACATTTTGTTTATAGTATTAATATTCTTTAATAGTGTTTTTTCACTAAATTTCCCAAATAAAATGATTTGTTCTCTTTCAAGAATCCTCTTGTTGACTTCAAGTCTATGAGGTGAAGTATTAGCTTTTAGCTGCTTTAATACTGGAGAGTTATCCTAAATTAAAAATAATTTTATTTTTTTATCACTTTCTTCTTGACTCTGAAGTATGGCCTTTACAAGTTCACACCCTAGATTGTGAAATTCTATGGTTATAGTCAATAATAAAGTCGAAACCATGGATCTAGGAGTTTTAAGGCTTGACTCGTCCATCATCATCGGGCTCGACTCAGCACACCACATGAATTGATTCATGCTTGTCCCTTGGTGGAGCAAGCCTCAATAGGGGTGTAAACTCGCCTCGACCCACCATATGATTGGCTCGTGCTCACTTTGGACGAGTCGAGCACGAGCTAACTAGTTAAAAAAGACAGTTCATCCCCCACTTGTAGCTCGTAGAACCAAATAATTTTTTTTTAAATATAATTGAAAAAAAAAATTGTATGCAGGCATCCGAATGATTGGACTGCCTGAATTCGACATCAGGGCACCTCACCAGGTGCCATCGAGTTATGAAGTTTTTAGCTGTAACAATTTACTTATATCTGAGCTAGGCGAGCAAAAGAGCTCGGCTTGCAAGCTACTCGCGCGAAAAAAATTTCAGCTTGATTCGCCCCATTTCCCATCCCTGTATACCCCTAAACAATAAATTAATCAACTTGGACCAAAAACAAGTTTGTGACAAAAAATATTAATCCTTGCATTTTGGGAGATTAGATTGGGTTTGCTCGGTAACTGAGTTTCATTTCAGATGGTTAACTTATTGTGCAAAGTAGTTAAATTTCATATAATTACATCATCTACCCATATGTAGTCAATGTTAGCTTTTGCTACAGGTTCTAACGGATTAACAATACCCCCCATCAAATGGAGCACAACATTATCTCAATCCCTTAAGCGATAATTCATGTGTCATTCTTTCATAATACACGAATGATTACAAGTTCCATCAAGGGACAATTCTTTTACTGCCTCACAAACTGCTTGTGTCGGTACAACCATTTTGGAAGTTAAATACCGATATTTTTTATATCGTGAATTTTTTAGCCTTAACTCTTATATCACTAGTAGGATATTGGAGTTCCATCCCAAAAAATTAAACTCTTTGGTCCAGCATTCCAATTCTCTTAGATACATTATCTACAATATCTCTACCAATGTGAATTTCTGTTCTTACTTACCCAATAGGCGAACATTGTAATTTTATTTTCTTATTTGTTGTGGGCGGTGGCATTCAAATTTTCTGTGACTTTGTTATATATAATGTGGCATAACATTTGCGTGAAACTCAATAGATATGGCACAATTCATGTAAAAGGGTTACTGAGGGGCATATGACAGCAAAGATTTCACATTTACATTATGTATTAGATGTAATATTAATGAAAGATTTTCCCGTCCGAAGACACGAAATGAAATCTTGAAACAAAGAACTAGGACTTTTATAGAGAGTGAGTTTGATTCTTTCAATTTAAAGAGCTAAATCTACTCTCTAAAATAAAATGTTAATTTAACGAGTCTTTTGGAATATAATTTTAAAAGTTGACTCTTTAAAATAGATAACATCTCATATTTAAAAAGTCTATTAAACATGCTCTTAGAAACATAAAAAGCCACGTTGGATGGTGTGGGGGGTAACGTGTGTGCAAATGTTTAAAAGTGAGGGTGGGTGATTGCAGAGTGTGTATAATATGATTTTAAATTAGCCCCTATTTGTTTTTCATTCTTTCTTCATTAAACTGAAAAATATGATCATTATCCATCACATCAAGTCACCATATTTAAATTTTTATCTCGTGTGGAGCCCATAACATTTATATTTTTCATTCTCATTCTCTCATAAATGAGAAACAAGCGGGGCTAAAAAATAATTATAACTTGGTTTTTGAAAGATAACAATTTGTACCCAAATTTCAAATTTCAAATTTAAAATTAAATGTACGGGTTAAAGTAATTTTTCGCAATTTTTTAAACATGCCCAAATCATAAAACCCACAACAAATCAACTAAAATAAAATAAATTAGACAAGAATCCATATCTGACGAGAATAACAAGTTGTACTTGACATTTAATGTGTGGCTATCCTAAATCTTCATGAGAAATATAACTTACTTGGCATGTATTGACATTAAAATCCCGTTTGGTACCCATTTTTATCAAAATGAATTTTTCTCTCTCTTCTTTTCAACCACACATTCTTTATTAAAATAATATTACATGTAAATCAAAAAAATTTCCTTATTTTTTAATTACATATTTTCCATCAATTTACTATTTAAAAATCATTTTTACATAAAAATGTCTCCAAAACACCCTCTAACTTTATTAATGAACACTAGGTATGCTCAATTTTTCTATTTTTTTTTTTGGTGGAGATCACACTAAGGATCTGTTTGATTGCAAATGTAGAAAATGCAAACTAATTCCATGTAATTTGGAAAAGAAAAAACAATCAAAACCATAGGAATTCGATTTTTATGGAATTGACCAAAAATATGCTTTGAGTGATTGTATTTTGGAATTCGAATTTCATTTTCATTTTCGTATCAAACAGCAAAAATAGAAAACGAATTCCTCGAATATGACATTTTCTATGGAATTCATAATCAAACGGACCCTAATTGCTAATTACTGAATTTAGTATTATATCATTTTAATTTGACAAGATTATAATCGACATATTTTATTATCTTACGTTATTTCAAATTGATTCTAAAACAATCGACATATTTGATTATGCTATGCAATTATAAATTGACTAGACAATAATTGTCAAGTTAGTGTTCAATAAAAATAGTCACAAACTATTATCCCATGCTTTCACTTCGAAGTTCATATCCGCTTCATCCACATGGATCCAGAAGCCTCGATCGCGTAATCTTTGATCCTCGTACTAAACTCATGTAGTTGTCCAATCCCATGCTGTCCATATCGATTTAAATTTTATTCCTTAACTTTATGTTTTCCCATAGACACACTTCGTTAATCGATTGACTCCACACACCAAGGCTTCCATAGTTTTGCAGCTCAAGACTAATTTTCACTTGATAGGTTTTGACACGGTTTATAGGATCCCCGACTCTTTATTCTAATTCCCAAACAAGCACTTAGGAAAATTTGCATAAGCAACCCCTAAATTTCAATGTCATGCATCTCTGCCAGTATTTTTGTTGGTTTTAGAAAATTTGCCCTTGAATTTTCGGTATTAGCAAAAGGGTCCCAGGATATTCTTTAATCTGTAATTCTGCCCCGCATCGCGTTTCACATCCTTTATGAAATTCCATGATTAATGTATTTTTTCTTTTTAATTACTAAAGTCAAAATCATAGAATTTGCTTCTCATCAATAAATCAATTAATGTGGACTCCAAAAAAATTAATCCCTACCTTTGTTGACTCAAAAAGGCTTTAAACCCGAGTATACAAAATTCCAATGGCCCAATGAAAAATCAACGGAATTATATAATTTTGTCCATGCACAGCTAAAACTCCAAGGGGGTTTCTTTCCGAGGATGACCAGTGCTATTAATTCTCAAAGATTTTGTTGGATACATCCAATTTATATTAAAATGTTATGTAGACAAAAGTTGATAATAACACAAGTTGTGATTTGACACATTAAGTGTGGTTTTCCAAGCATAAAAAGTTCAATATAGGCAACTTAATTATAATTAAATAAGTAATACAAATATATTTTTTTTTTGTTCCAAATTAGTTTTTTTTTTTGTTGAAATTAAAGAATGACTACTTCTGGAAAAAAACTTTCTTTTACTTTAAAGTATGAAAAAATTTGTATACACATATTTGGAGACAAAAATTCCTTAAAATTTACTTAATCTCTTTTCTCGACTTAACCAGACATGCTCTAAATCGTGTTGGACCATACGTTTTAGGATCAATAAAAGAAAATAAGAAAATGAAAGTTGTTTTTTTAAAGGAGATTTTATTTATAGTATTAATATTCTTCAATAACGTTTGATTTGAGATGCGTTTCACTAAATTTTCCAATTAAAATAATTTATTTTCTTTCAAGAATACCCTTGTTGACTTCAAGTCTATGAGGTGAAGTCTTAACTTTAAACCACTTTAATATTGAGAGTTATCCTAAATTAAAATCAATTTTAATTCGATGGATGTTGGTTGATCATATATTTCATCATACTTCTATAATTCAGAGCATCCTTTTCATACATATTTTTTGGATTCATTATATGGAAAGTAACAAGTTGATCCTTGTAGCAAAATTGAGGGGCCTTGACTGGTAACAAGCTCTAAAATATTTTTATTACTTTCTTCTCGACTCTAAAGTATGACCTTCACAAGTTTACATCCCATATGGAGATTTATGATTAAAGTCAACTACTGAGTCGAAATCATATAACTTGGGATGTTAAGGCTCAGCTTGTCCACTATCAAGCTCGATTTGATCCACCACAAGAACTAACTCATGCTCGTCCCTTGGTAGGGTGAGCCACAAAAAGGGTGTAAGGCTGGAGTTTTCCACCATCAAGCTCAACTAGGTTCACTAGACAACCTAACTTGTGCTTGCTTTTGGACGAATCAAGCACATGTTAGCTCGTCAAGAAAAGGCAGTTTGTTATATATAATGTGACATAACGTTTGCATGATACCATAAGACCAAAGGGATAGACATAATTCAAGCCAAACAGTCATTGTAAGGATAGATAACCACTTCGGTCTAATTAAAGAATAGGTCTCAGTCAAAACACATGGTGCAACTCTTGGCCTAGAATGAATGATCTTGTGGAAGATGAATGGAAGTAGAGCTAAAGGACTATCTAGCCAAATCAAGGGATGATTAGTTAGGCTTCATGTCCTCATATAACGAGTTGAATAGAGGCACAAGACATCATATCTCAAAGCCAGCATAACATAAAGGTACCTTCCTTGGTACTTCCGATATGACGTGACATTTCAAACACTATGCACTTGGGGCATTTCCAATCACGAACCAAATTGGTGTAAAATTACAAATTTGGTGCTAAAATCCACTCCAACCATGCACCAAAACTTTACACCTGGTGGCTAATGCAACGTTGATATGTAGTGACATTTCGAAGACCGTGCACTTAGGACATTTCCAATCACGCACCAATTCGGTGCAAAAATCCACTCCAACCTTACACCAAAAGTTCACACCTATGCAATGAATAGTGTAGCACCATTCATTTGGTGCCCTTTATTTTATAATACAACAAATTTAATTTCTATTATATCTTTCTATTATTAATTGATTTAACTTTATTTATATTCTGTTTAATTTGATTATTATTTATAATTAACATTTATAGTAAACTATAATTTTTTTTAATTGTGGTTTTAAATGTAATAGTTTTTTATTTTAGTTAATTTTATATAATTTTTAATTTAACAATTTTAGTAGTAATATAATTTGTAATTAATAACTTCTTAAATAAATTAATTGTCGAGAATAAATAAATAAGGAAATACTATTCATTTGGTGTAATATTTGATGTAATGATTGGAAATGACTACAAGATGGTGTGAAAGTTGCATCAATTTGATGCAAATGGTTGGGGATGACGTTAGAGAAAATCTCAAGGTGACTATAGCTTGTCGAACACCTAGCTCAACAACACATTTTCTCAAATACCATGAGAAAATCCTTTCAATATTTCAGAGTGATACTTTGTCCACATTATGTGTACACTTTTCTAACACTATAAATTCCAACTCTGAGATGAGAAATCAACACTTTTTTCCACTAGACACCAAAGTCAACTTCAACATTGCAGTGTGATCGATCGTTCATCTCCTATCATGGCAAGCATGGCAAGCACCGAGCAAACATGCAAGTGATCTTTTTATAGAGTCAAAGCACGTTTTAGGTTATCAGAATGGATATAAATCTTCCAACAAATTTCGACATCCAAGTGTTATCAAATATGAATGCGATCTTAATGCTGCATTACATATACAGATATATAAATTCAACTAATACATTAATCAATAAAAACTTAGTAATCCATAATTATTCGATGCAATTGAACTTTGATACAAGTCATAATAATTATCATATCATCCTAAATTTCAATGCGCACGCAGACTTCGTTTGCTAATCAAAACTAGCAGACAACAGTGGAAACTCCATCTCATTTATGTCTATATCACTGTCCGGCATATCTTCTGGAGAGAGGAATGGCTTTGGAGGCAATTGCAACAACTCGACATCTCCTTCAAGCATCTCTATAACTTTATTCATGGAAGGACGATCGTCAGGTTTCATCTGTATGCACCACAAGGCTACAATTGTCATTTTCTTCACCATTATTCTTTCATCCAGAGAAGCATCCCCCAAATCAATTTCCATTCCTTTGCTGAATGTGTCATGAATCCAACAAGGGAAATAAATTTGGCTTATATTTTCTGCAGCCGGATTCAAATTTCTTCTTTTACTTGCCATTTCCATCAACAACATTCCAAAACTATAAACATCTGATTTGTATGAAACTCTTCCGATATTTCTGTAGAACATTTCTGGAGCCATGTATCCCATTGTACCTCTTGCAGCAGTTAGAGACACCATATTTTCATCCGCTGGATACAATTTTGCTAACCCAAAGTCGGAAATTTTAGGAATGAAATTATGGTCTAGAAGAATGTTGTGAGGCTTAATATCAAAATGTAGAATTTGCATGTCACAACCTCGATGCAAATAATCAATCCCTTTGGCCACCCCAAGAGCAATCTCGAAGATTTTACCATAGCTCAAGAAAACTGAAACTTCTTGAGGGAAAATGTACTTTTCAAGCGAACCATTTGGCATAAACTCATATATCAAAGCACGTTTTAAACCTTCAACACAGAAGCCAATGAGTCGAACCACGTTAACATGGTGAATTCTTCCAATGGTAGCCACTTCACTGATGAATTCCTGTCCGCTAGCTTTGGTTTTTCCCATCAATTTTATTGCAACAAAAGGGCCACTTCTAAGCTGACCTTTGAATACAGTGCCGTAGCCGCCTTCTCCCAACTTGTCCTCAAAATTCTTAGTCATATTCTTCAAATCTCTGTACGAATATCTTATTGGCATGAAGTTGTTCTGTATTTGTAGGAATTCTTCAATGTCGTCATACATTGAGAGGTGCCGCCTTCGAATTTTATATGCCAACAGTGTGAACAGGAAGAGAATCCCACAAGGAAATCTTGCTGCAAGAAATCCTGAAGAGGAAAAGCAAGATTAAAAACACGACATGAAAACTTTTTCTTCCAAACAAGGATATTTTGACTAAAAAGGTTCTGGTTTGTAGAATGAGATAATTCAGCAAAATTGCCACACTACAAATATTCCCTCAATTTGTCATCCCTAGTTAATTGAGTCAGAAAATAGTTTTCCAGAATCCATATTGGTAAAGGGTCCTATCTTACTATATAAAATATATAGAGCAAGTTTCCAGTAAGATTGAAGATTTCATCTCTTACCTAGGATATATTCCAGCTCCGTATGATACGCTGTTCAAATCAACAAAAGAAGAAACAGTTGAGAGACAAGATGTTAGGTGTTTCAAGAAACTGCGGCTTATATATGAAGCTAGCCAGGGAAAAGAAAGAGAACACGGACCTGTCCAGATTGGTACTAGGACTGCAAACTCAAAACAAAAACAGGATCAGCAAAACAAAACTCAAGAGTCAAATATTCTTATGAATATATACTTAATAGAGAGGGAAAAAAATACTCTTAACAATTAAATGTTAACGAAAGAAGGTGTGACAACTAATTTGGACATCTTAATAACATATTTTCTCAAAAATGCCAACAGTCAACTCTTGATGGGCTTGTAATCTTTTTGGATGGAATTGTCAATAGTTCGTTTAATACAAAAATTTGCCCTCAGTTCAAATTAGCAAAAGAAACAAGTATAAAAAGTTACTCGTGATTTTTTGATTTTTGTGATATCATGTTGAATAGCTTAGTCTAAAGAACAAAACACCCACCATCGCCGATCTGCAACCAGAAAGGATATGAACCTAACAAATCAAAATAAAAGCAATGTCAAAAAACAAAGAGTTGGATATTGTAAACAAATTTTTTATCAATATATTTTATTCTGTCACTAGGAAGTGGGAATCAATTATTTTCACTGTTTAAATATATACTTGATACATAGAAAAATAAGCATCTCTATTTCGTTATACAGGAAAAATATAAGAAACTAGCTAGACTAATAATCCACTTACAATTGGGCCATTCACCCCAATGCTTGCAGTAGGGATCAATGCATTCGATGGTATTATCATCTTCGATATAACAATGTCCTGGGCATTTTTCGCCGCAATAGACTTGGTACCACTTAAGGTCAAATCCGTAAGCCAGCCCATCTTGAATGTCTGAACAGGAGGCATTATTTACTCCTATGGGAAATTCATTTGAAATCCACGCCATCCCGTCAATCCTGCAGGAATCATTTAAATCTGCAACACGGACGTCGTTTCCGACTACAAAATAGGAATATTTCTGCAGAGAAATATTTTTACTGCAATTGCATGTATCAACATAAAAAGGAGACTCTGCAGGAGCTTCACAGTGGATATATACTATCATAGTATTCAATTTTGCGACATCATAAGGTTCCAACCTGTATGGTGTAAATCCGTAATCGTAATTCAATGGCACTCTGTTTTTTGGAAATGAATCACAACTGTTTTTCTCCATACCAGGATCAAGTAATCGAATCGAGTGGTCATTGTAAGAAATTGATTGCACGAAGAATCTGCTGAAGCTTAGATAGAGGATAGCGCGATTGTTCTCACAAGCAAGTTCGTGGCTCGAATCGCTACAATTTTCGTTTTCGGGGTCGCCTCTAAGTCGAAACGGGTAGCTAATGTTTGTGATACTGCCGCAAGAAGTAGGGTGACAGTCGGCTTCGCAATAAGTAGCACAGTGTAAAAGAATTAAAAAGACCATAGAAATTGCGAAGAGCAGCTTGATGTTTCTCATTGATAGAGATGCTCTCAACGACGCTGATTTTAATTTCCACGTACAGGGTTTGTGTTCTATAAATTGATAAGAAGCAAGTATGAATTATTTGGCGTGGAGGAACAAAGAAAGGGGGATGAAAATGCATATCACGTAAATGGAAAATACACTCCAAGGGACGGAAACCAAAAGATACGAGTCAAGTCAACTGTACACTGGCTCGTTAGTCTATGATTGGATTGTTTTTTATTCCTGAAAAATTACTAATACAGAAAAATGTAAAAGAAAACAAAGGTTTCAGAATTTCATAAGTGGTAGTCATGGACGCTCTTTTCTCTATAATATATATATATATATATAGACTAACAGGGTTTCAGAATTTCATAAGTGCTACAAAAATATACGAGAGATCACTTTTATACATCGTTAACAAGTTGGGGACTAACGACAAAAATTTTTCTAATGTCAAACCTTTGAATGAAAAAATAGAGAGCAAGTTCGAGAAAATATGAAAAAAAAATAATAATTCATTCATTCTTAAATAATTTAAACTTTAAAATGAGTTAATTTAACCGTTCCTTAAATTTACAAAACTCAAGACCTATTCCAAGTGCCCAAAGAAAGTCAATGGAATTTAACATTTTTTTCAACATATGGCTAAATGTCCTTGGAGGTAACTTCTTGCTAAAGAGAGCTATTAATTGTCGAAGACATTTCTGTTTTTTTTTAATATGTCCAAATCATAGAACCCACAAAGTAATGACTCAATCAAATAATTGAGACAATAATCAATAATTCACTGAAATGATACGAGCCATATTTAAATGTTGAACTCCAATCTTGAGGGCTCCCATCGTCTCTTCCCTAGAGCTTTGTGAGAGAGTTAAATAGCGTGATGTACTCCAGCAGACCAGGGAACAAGAGCTGTTTGTACACTGTGCTTATAAGAAGTCCAATTCCATATCTCAAGAATCGAACTTCCACACTGCGACTGTCAACAATGCGTGAAATAACCTCATTTCTGTCATTTGCACCACTGAACTATGCCCTGGAGAGCGATACAAGCCATATTTGACATTTGGAATAAGAGCATACGTGTCTAAGAAGATAAGAAAGCACTTAGAAAGAGAAATTTTCTTCGTCAAAGTTAGGAATTTACTACTTCTTTGCCTCATATGAATTATACTTTTGGAATGAAAGTATTAAAAGTTAAAAAAAAAAGTCAGTTATTTGTGCATTTTTATTTTTATTTTTGAAAAGTCTTTTTTCTTATTTATTATTATTATTATTTTTTTTGTTCCATATATTGTCTATTTGGGTCGTTTCCTTCTAGAAAAATTCGATTTTTCGTCCACTCTATTATTAATGAGCACTAGTGATGCTCAATTTTCCTACTTTTTGATGGAGATCGTACTAATTACTAATTACTGAGATGTGTTATTTTAAATTGACTCTATAATAATTAAGAGATTTTATTACATTATACTATTTTAAATTGACTCGATAGTAATCAATATAACTATATTATGCTATGCTATTTTAGATTGACTCGACAACAATAGTCAAGTCAATGCGCCATTAATATTGCCACAATCCATTGTTCCATACTTTCACTGGGATATTCATTTCCACTTCATTTCCGCGTGGTCCACAAGCTTGGACAGAATAATCTTTGATCCTCATAAACTGAATGTTCTTTTTTCTACGAATCAATCCCCAAATTTTCTATTTTTTGCGAATTAGTCTATGGCTTTTTGGATGTTGCATATTAGTTCCTATTGGCCTAATTTGTGAGAGGGGCACGATAGACAACCCACCAAATTCACTTTGTGGTGTTAGTAATAATCTCCAATGAACACTGCTTGACCGCATATATAGCAAGATCGGCAGCATTTAAGTTATTTTGAGCCCAACTACACCTTCTTGCTCAAATTTTGATCCACCATCTTGGTTGGGTGGACGGGGAGGGATTTTTACTCTTACCAATTTTTAATGGTATAACAGTCAGAAATCAGCTGGGCCAATAGTGCTACAAAAGTATAACTAGGGATCACTTTGATATAATGGTAATAATTTGGTGGCTAATGGTGCAATTGTTTCTAGTGTCAAACTTTTCAATACAAAATAATTTCATTCATTCTAAAATAACTTTTGTTGACTCAAAAAGTCTTTAAACCTTTGTATACGAAATCTTAGTGGCCCAAAGAAAAATCAATGGACTTATATAATTTTGTTCATGCACAGCCAAACCTACATGGGGTTGCTATTAATTATCAAAGATTTCGTTGGATATGTCCAAATTAATTATATTAAAAAATTATTTAGATAAAAAATGATAACAACACAAGTTGTGCTTTGACATTATTTTAACCTTCTTGAAAAATTACTAATACTACTGGGAAATGTGAACGAAAACAAAAGGCCCAGAAATTCATAAGCAGTATCAAGTGTTCTTCCTCAACATGGCACCTCAAATCATTTACCTCATCTTTCTATCACTCTTTGCAGTACTTGGATCAATTGCTCAAAATGAATGCCAAGTCGAAAACTGCACGCAGTATGGCCCTGCCATCCGGTTCCCCTTCAGCCTTAAAGACCGCCACCAACAGCACTGTGGCTACCCTGGCTTTGAACTTCACTGCACTCAAAACAATGACACGGTATTGGAATTACCTTTACCGGCGAAGGCATCAATCAAGGACTCTAACCTTCCATTTTCGGTTCAGTTTTCCGTTATAGAAATCGATTATGAAAATCAGTTAATCGAGATATCTCAAGTCTCTGGCTGCTTTCCAATTCTAAATTTATCCGCATCTCCATTCCAATTCCTAGATGATTCTATTTATAACTTCACTTTATTCAACTGTTCCGAAATCAAGCGAGATAATCTTGGTTATCTCGTACCCTGCCTCAGCAGTAAGGATTATGACGTTTATGGAGTTTGGTCCGATGATTTCTTATATGAATTGTCCCTACACTCCTGCAGCAAGATGTTTGACATTCAATCCATACCTTATGAAGTATTTTACAATCCGTCCTCTTTTCAATTGGAATGGTCCAGACCATCTTGTGGACATTGCGAATCCAATGGCAAACATTGTAGATTGAAGAATGACAGTTCAATCTTGCATGATACTGAATGCTACAGCAGCAAAACAGAAGGTAATTTTACATATATTTTCCGTTTTACAGACTTAGAGAGAGAGGGAGACTCGATCCGGAAGAAGATAGAATTATGCTCAAATCAATTAACCTTCTCTCTCTCTCTCTCTCTATATATATATATATAGATTCACTCTCTCAGTAGATAGCGTTAAAATTAGATAGAGAAGTGAAGGAAGAAAAGAAAAAGGTAAAACTGTCCTTCAAACTCTTAAATTTCAGAAAACTTGCATTAGAATGAAGTGTTCGTTTTGGGGAGTTGACAAATGCTTCGAATTTGCTAAAAGCTTAATCCACGTGATTGAATATGCGTTACCTCTCATGGAATTTCAAACTTGAAATATTTTCATCCTCTTTCAATTGATCGTATTTCTTCGATGTTGGAGTAACTCCGATGAAGCCTAAAACATAAAATTCTAAAGAGAATTAGGAGTCAAGACTCATATTTATGTTTTATTGTGTGTTGTGAAACGCATTACTCATTATAAAATATAATTTTTGTCAGTGAAATTGTGATGTACATAACAACAAAAGAAAATAATATAATAGAATACAAACATTTAAGTATGAGTTATTTATGTCATTTTAACTATGATTATTTTAGTAAATAAAAAAATTATTGAAAATTGTGGCATATCAAATAAAAATAGTGATGGCAATATAATCATTCTTAATTGATTGGATCCTCCGTAATTGTAATATATCCTAGAGATATCTATGACGATAACTTGATTTAAAAGTTCTAAATTGTTAAATAAGGTCACATTTATATCATTTAAATCATTTTTTTTTTCCAATTTGAGAAACTTCCCATGCATTTTGAAGCATAGACTTCCACAAAAAAATATCTAGACTTATGACACTGTAATATCATTTTCATAAATCTGCTCCTTTTTCGAGTCTAGAAATATATGTATTCTGTATAGATACATTTCATTTCATGAAAGCAAGGTGCCACAGAAACCATTTATAGGTATTTTCACGATAACCTGAGTAGGGGAACAAAGTTACACTCAAAATTACTCATATATTTATCGTATTTCTTAGTAGTTCCATACCATTTTTTCAGATGCTTCGAGGATCAGAAGGAGCTTAACCTCCATTCGTTGTAGATTAGAATTTGTAATTCCTTACATAAGGATTTAGCAATTCGATTCTAACAAAGGGGAACATATTGGCAGTAAGAGGGGGAAGGGTTAAGGATTTACCCAAATTTTTTGTAAATTTTGATAAAAATTAATGAAATAGTTATTGAAAAATTGTGAATCTCATGAAACCTGTGGTTAAAATTAAGACTTGAAATTAAAATCAAATTTTCATGTACACCAAATCCTTTAGCAGAAAAAAATCTTTAAAATGCACCAACATACATCCAAAGGCATAGAATGATTTTCTCTCTGTTCCTATATTCTCATTGCAGATATCCCTTTTGTCTTGTTTCTTTTTATTTCTTTTATTTTATATAAAGTTTTCTTGATAGTCTAAAGAGTAGTAAGAGAAACTAACAGTTCATTTTCAAATGTTTTGCAGGTCCAGTGGCAAAACTAAGAGTTGCAGGTGAGAATTTGTGCTTACTTTTAGCTTTTATTGTGACTACAAAGAATGAAACATTTTCACCAGTTATGGCTAAAGAACTAAATCTGTTTTCTTTCATATACAGGTGAAGTACTTGGTCCTTTGCTTGCTGTGTTCCTTGCTATCGCATCATATTGGATTTATAGCTCAATCAAACTGAAAAAAGAGAGTGAATTGAAAATTGAGCAATTCTTGATGGATTACAAGGCACTCAAGCCAACAAGATATTCATATGCAGACGTAAAAAGAATCACAGATAACTTTATCGAAAAACTTGGTGAAGGAGGATATGGAACAGTATACAAAGGAAAGTTGTCTAATGATGTTTTTGTTGCGATCAAGATCCTCAATAATTCTAAAGAGAATGGCGAAGATTTCATAAATGAAGTGGGCACAATAGGTAGAATCCATCATGTCAATGTGGTTCGCTTGGTTGGATATTGTGCCGATGGTTTTACACGAGCTCTGGTTTATGAGTTTATGCCTA